TTTTGGACTTAGAAAAATTCCAATTTGGGGGGGAGGGGGGCATAAGTGTTTTACAAACATCTCTTGTTATTTTAGAGTTAAGAATGAAATGATGAAATATATATTTTCTCTTTTTTTCTAAAGGAGAACTAAAAGACCCCAGTAAAGCCATTCCTAAGGGAACACTTTATGCTGTGATGTTTAGTTTTACAACTTACTTCATTCAAATCATTCTGGTTGGAGGTTCATGTGATAGGTAAATACATGTATCGATATTTATCATTACTTTAGAGAATAATATTATATATGAGAAAATACTGGATAAAATAATAAAACAATTTCAGATCACTGGATATTTGCTGTAACCATGTTTTATTGTATATTTTCATGGCTCATCTAGTCTTGACCAAACCATTTTCAAAATGATCCATCTTATTTAATTTTTCAGATCTCTCAGAATGTTACTCTTAGAATATTACTCATTTAATTTTGATAGAATTCAGTTGGAACACACCATGGTACAAAATTCTGTAAATCGAATGTGATTCGAGGTTGTGGTGTAACTTTCCTTCTTCTCTATTATTTGTACAAACCAGTAGAGCTTCAGTCACAACAGAGACTATTTGTTATTTTTTTCCCTCCTTCTACAGGTGTCTTCTGCTGAACAACTATATTTTCCTACAAGAAATCAACCTGTGGAAGCCGTTTGTTCTGATTGGGATATTTGCCGCCACGTTGTCTGCTGCTCTGGGTAACCTGATTGGAGCCTCCAGGATTCTTCAGGCCCTGGCTAATGACCATTTGTTCTGTGGGTTCTATTTCTGTTTTGCTTTAAAATAAAATGAAGCAATCTTGGAAAATACACAATCCTGTTGCATTCATCAACTTCTACTTATTGTCTTTTTGTATACTGTCTGTTTCAGGGTTTGTTTTGAATCCTGCGTCTATCACCACAAAGTCAGGAAATCCTTATGTTGCAGTTCTTATATCATGGTTTCTGGTACAAGTAAGTATCATGTTCATATTAACACGGATTGCAAGAAGAAAACTAGTGCAGGAAAATTGTGATAAAATTGAATGAAAAAAAAAAACCCAGTCTTTAATATGATTCCTTCAATGAAAACCAAGTGATATTTGCAAGCAATTAATATCAATTGAGTTTTGTGACCTTCTTTCACTTGTGTTCTCGCCTCAAATTTTTTATTTCATTGTTTATTTATGTAGAATTTTTCCTCAGCCAAGAAAATTATTTTAAATTGCAGATGGATTTCAATCAGACAAATTGTTTAAAATTTTTTTCTTCGGAATACACTGTAATAGTTTAACTAAGTTAGTTTAAAGGTAATCCTAGCAATCTTATTTTTTTGTAGTTGGTACTGCTAGTTGGTTCTTTGAATGCAATAGCCCCTGCTACCTCTGTGTTCTTTCTGATGTCCTATGCCTCAGTGAACTTAGCATGTCTGGCCCTGGAGCTAGCTTCAGCACCTAACTTCAGGTAAGGGTACTAGTACTCCTGATCAGAGGAGTTTCTGCTGGGGGGTTTTTCTCTCAAGATAATTATGTGCCACAAGGGCCGGTGGCACACTATGTTTGATTTTACATATAAAGCAACAGAATACAAATACATGTAGTGATTATGTAAAAATTAAAACATGGTGTGCTATGTGCTTAGTATGTTGCTTGATAATTATAATTTTCTTCTAACACAAATTTGGTATAAATATAAGGGAGATGACTGATATTTGATTCATCTCCAGATAGCAAGTGCTAATTTATATATAGTCTGAATGGGTCATGACTTTGTAAGAGAGATATTGTAAGCTCATACTTGACACATTAATATGGCCAAAATTTGTATCTGCAATGGGGCATCATTTTGTGATCCCACTCACAGTACCAGATGTTTGGTTTTTGGGACCAATAACCAATAAGAAAGTAATGTTTCTTTCAGGAGCAAGGAAAGCATTTGGTTTATCTTTACTTGTTGGTATTTTCAGACCCACCTTTAAATACTTCACTTGGTACACCTGTACCCTGGGTCTGATTGGGTGTATACTGATGTGTTTCCTGATCAGCCCTATCTACACCTCGGCAGCCATTATCGTGATGCTGGTGCTGGCCATTATCCTTCACTTCCGCTCACTGCCCACACAATGGGGCTCCATCAGCCAGGCTCTTATCTTCCACCAGGTGAGAACATAGCAAATATATCTACATTAATATTGGTAGGTCAAGTTTTTTGTTACCAATCAAATGTTCAGATAAACATACGTACAGGTCAAGGTTTTATCCATCAGTTCTTCTGTTACCTAAAAGATTAAAATCCTTTACTATTCAAAATTTCGAGATATGGCACATACTAAGTACAGAAGTTAGATTTTTCCAATTTGGAGAAATAAAAACTGTGCATTGTTATATATGTAGGTAAGAAAATACCTGCTGATGCTGGATTCAAGGAAGGCCCATGTCAAGTACTGGCGTCCTCAGATCTTGTTAATGGTGGCTAATCCACGCCAGTGTTCAGAACTCATCCACTTCATTAATGACATCAAAAAAGGAGGGTTGTATGTGATTGGTCATGTCAAACTAGGATCCCTGGACTCATATATGAAAGACCCAGTCGTGGAGGAAAATTCAAAATGGATGGGGCTGATAGATTATCTCAAAGTGAAGGCATTTGTAGAGGTTACCATGGCAAATACCGTTTCGGAGGGTCTTCAGCACTTATTGAGGCTGTCAGGGATGGGGGGTATGAAGCCCAACACCATTTGTTTTGGGTTTCTGGATGATGCTAAGCCTAAAGATATGCTGAGTGTTGAAAATGTGGGAAGGAAGCGACGCTTTTTTACTCGTTTGGAAAGTGGAAAAAAGGAGAGCATTGATAACCTGTTCATGAATGTAAGAGGGGAGGGGGATCCAAGAAATGTATCTTCTTTAGAGTATGTCAAACTTATTTCTGATTCATTAAAAATGCAGAAGAATGTGTGTTTATGCAGACATTTTGATCAGTTAAGTAAGCAGTCTGTTGTAAATTCCAAAAAGCCACTGTTCATTGATGTTTGGCCAGTGAATCTTTTCCGCCCCGACACCGCCAACTTCTTTGACAATACCTGTCTGTTTATGCTCCAGCTGGCCTGTATTCTAACCATGGTGCCAGGCTGGAAATCCAAAACAAGTCTACGAGTTTTCTTGTGTTTAAATGCGCAGACAGATAACACTCTCCAAAAGCAACAGAAACTGGACTGCTTTCTTCAGCAACTCAGGATCAAAGCTTCAGTGAAAATAGTCACCTGGGACCACCTAGTGCAACATCTACCTGTCATGTCAGGTAACAGCAATGGAAAACTGAACCTGATGGAGAAATTCCACCCAGTGCCTGCTGAATTCATCAGTGCAATAAACCAAATGATTATTTCTTACTCCAGTACCACTGCAGTAAGTTTTCTATACCTCCCCATACCCCCGGCTGAATCCAGAGACAATGAAACCTATCTAAACAGCCTGAAATTGTTGTCAGAAAATCTCCCTCCCACCGTGTTTGTACATGGGTTGCATCCTGTGACTTCTACCACTCTATGATGGTTTATAATTCAGATAATAAGATATATTAATTAATTAAAATAGGGAATTAGTTTTGTCATCATTTTCATGTAGATCCATCTTATCACTGGTAAAACTTCATCTTTGAAACTTTTTTGTACTGCTGTAAGTGCATAAAAAAGTAGTTTTTAGCTGGAAACCACATTCCATTGTATTTGTGTTTTATTTTAAAACGAACAAAATGGCTGTGATATTAACGTGTATGTAAAAATAACTCATCAGTAAGGTTTCATTATAGCAATATAAGTGCAATGACAATATATGTATGTGTACAATATAGAAGTTCATGTTATTAAACAAGAGAAGAATCAATTCTTGATAGTAAAGTACTTAAAGATAAAAGTGGTATGTAAAAAAATACCTCTGACTTTTATATTCTGTGTTTTATGCTGATCTTTGTGTATTAAATGTTTTGCTCCCTAGTTTACTACAGTATTTGTTCATGTATGTTAATTTGGTTACAGTGTGTATGTACATGTATGAACAATTGAGCAAACAGTAAGTTTTTTCAATAAAATAATGAAGTCAACTGTATTATTGAAAATTATATCATAACAATTTTATCTTTCACTCAAGTATTTAAAAAAAGGTGCCAATCTACTAATCAGCAACCTAAAAACAAGATGTGTTTGTGAAACACTATGCGTCCAGTGGCAACAAAGTTTGAAAAAAGCTATTTTAGCATACAGGTCACAGTCAAGGTCACAAGGTCATTGGCCTTGGTGTGATTTGAAAGAACTTGATTAGTGGAGTATGCATACCAAATATGAAGTATCTATCATGGTTCAAAAGTTATGGCGAAAGTTAAGTTTGCAGACAAAGATGATATTTTTAGCATATAGGTCACAGTCAAAGTCACAAGGTCAATGACCTTGATATCATTTGAAAGAGTTCAATTAGTGGAGTGTGTGTATATACCAAGTATTAAGTCTCTATCTTTCATGGTTCAGAAGTTATGATGGAGGTTAAAGTTTGCAGACAAACAAACAGATAAACAGACAGACAGACAGGACAAAAACAATATACGCCTCGGATCTATCGATCCGGGCGCATAATAAATGTATTTTCAATCTTTCTTAGCAATGATTGATCATAGATATAATGCTCAAGCCTTAGTGTCAACGACTGTTTTCTGTTATTAAAAAACACCCCCCCCCCCTTCTTTCCATATCCTTGAAAAATTATCATTCAGTTTTATGATAAGGAAGTATATATAGTTAGGCTTCTTTCGAAGACAGTAAGATATAAATCAGATCCATTACACACCAAGTTGAATTCTAAATATAACAGTAATGGTGGTTTTGAGGGACCATGGTTTTCACAATTATTCTGTCCTTCGCCTATTTATGCAATCTGACATAATTGGTGGAAATATTGAAGCTGAAAACATTCAAAAGTTAACGACCGACATTCGAGTTCGTCAATAACTTAAAAACCGTTCAAAAAAAAAATTAAAAAGCGTTATCACAAAAATTCAACCGCCCAAAAATATATGTATGCTCAAAAAGGTAACGAGAAATAAGAAATAACTTTAAGGAGTAGATTAATAAGAATACATATTTTCATTGATAATTAATACAAATAATTGTGACATATTGTGAAATATTTACTGATTAATTTTTTTTTATTCAAGAATTTTGCATAACAAGTTCTGACAAGTGTTAATACACGTGGGAGCGTGGCGAGAACAACACATCATGACATACTACCCATAGTCCTCTGCGTCTCTACAGAGACGTTCGGTTTGGTACAAACGAACTCTGGCGGAAGTTTGCACATCATGATAGAGAATAAGATTCGTACATTATGACGTCATAATGTACTTTACGTCACAATCATTATAAGTAGTAAATCTCTACTGAATTTCAACAAATATCCATTGCTGATATTTGGAATTTAGTTTATAAAAGAAAGAGCTACTCAACATATAATTGAATGTAAGTATAATATTGCTTTGAAATACATTGCTTGTTGTTTTAACGATTTCCAAGAGCCTTGGTGACACAATTACATGTAATATTTTGACAAGAAAAAGTTTAGTCTTAAAATCTGTCGTAGAGATAAAGGTACATTTATTATTATTCCATTGTTTATATGATATATAATTCCCTTTTCTTTGATAATCTTAGATAGAACATTCTATCGTTAAAATGATATTGTCCTACGGACCCGGTTTAACTGGGGTGAGGGCTTGTACCGAGACACAGATAGATTATTCTGACAATGAAAATTTGTTATTATTTTTTTAAGCACTCACATAATGCCGTTTCCCGGATTTTCCCTCATACTGATGGGAGCTATGGAGCTCAGGAAATGGTTGGAAAACAGGGAAAAGAAAAGTAATTATTTTAATTAGAATACATGTATTACCAATAAGCCGTGCAACATTACATCATTACATTTTTATTACATTACATTTATTTCATTACATTACATTATTATTTAATCTATCTAGAACAAGCTTGCTCATTTTTTTATTTAGCTTTGAATTTTATTTTATCTAGATGCAAGACGTGCAAAGAGGATCATAATTCGCCCAGACGACTTAGGCACTGACGTTGACACAGGAGTTAGCGAAAATGTCCTTGATAGCTTTGTTTCTACTGAATTAATTAGCAGTCGTATTAAGTCGAATACAAAATTCCGTAGACGGATAAGTTAAGTTCGCGCGAAAACATTTTAAAATCTCTTTTAACTTTGGGGGGGGGGCAGGGGGATACGTGGCCGATAAATTTCTTTTTTTCGTGAAATTACTTGATAATTGTTTAAGTGAGACTCCTTAGTTTTTTATTAGAAAAAGAGAAAACATATTGAAAAATTTTTAAGATATTACATGCATTCGGAAATACCGGTATTCCATTAAATTCTTTAACGTGAACTGAATTAAATACAGCGAGATTCTATCATATATATACTTTTATACTGAATGGATACCTTCTTTCATTGAAATAAAAAGTTTTTTTAAAAAAAAAAAATACGTTTAGGATAACTCACACGATCTTTTTTTTTTTTTTTTTGATTTAAATTCATAATTTAGCGATATAAAATCTACATATAAAGTTCACATTTCATGATTTTTAATACATAAATTTACATTTATTTTTATTGTACTTAGCACTTATGTTACGTAAATATAAGTATGAAATATCGGAACTGTAAAGTATCTAACGAGATGCTGAAGCGGTCAATGATTTTTCTAGAAGATTGAGTTATCGTCCTTTCACTGAACCATTTCCGTTTCACTGTCAACGACTGTGCGAGACTGTTTATTTTATTCAAAACTACATTTAATTTGTGCTCCTGTGATTGATAAAAGACATGGATTTCTTGCCGATTTACTATCGTCCAATGTCAGCGCAACAGCAGGCTCCTGCCGTTCGGGATTTGCTTAGGCAAATGCTTCGAGAGGAGATGGCCGGAATGCCCTTAGCTCACCAGCAAGCTGCTGTAGAACACAGACGTCAACAGGTACCAGAAAAATGGAGCAAAACCATTCGTCTGGACCACTATCAACCTGATGAAGTGAAAGTCGTTGTTAAGGATGGAACCGTCCGGATCCATGCGAAACACCTCGGTGGGGATGAGCTTAATAGTGATGTTCGAGAATCCACCCGTACCATCAGAATTCCCGAGGGTGTGGACCAAAGTAAGGTCCATTGTTACATGAGTAACGAGAACCATTATACCGTGGAGGGACCGATGCTCCCTAATGAAGACGATGAGGTGGACATTACATTGGAGGATGTACCCGCCATTACGGATGGGAGTGAGGTGGACACGCAGGTTAAAGAACAGGGGCCGTACCAAGAAAATCTGGATCTTTCCGTGTTTGATCCCAGAAATATTAACATTACTCGTAAAAAGAACATCGTGAGTGTTTCTGCAAACGAATCTCGTGATGAAGACGGCATTAAAGTTCACAGGTCATTCTGCAGAGAGTTCACTCTTCCCGAGGGTGTCGATTTCAAGCAGGTCAAGGCTGCCCGTGGAAAAGACGGCAAGGTCGCAATCATGGCGCCCAGATTGGAGAGTTAAATTTGTGGTACTCCGAAAAGCTTACCATAACTGTGATGAGCAAATTCAAGTTTAAAACTAGTCACAATTTTTGCGTTAACTTAAACTAATATTTTACGTTCGTGCTTAATCTTTATTGTTTGGTTTTTGCTTTAATTAACTTTAAGTCATTAAATGGTGTTCAAAGTGATTATTTTTCTACTGATATAGAAGTTTTGCAGTTATATATTCATTGTTACTTGCTATTCATTCCATGTTGAGATATGCATAAAAAATGTTGTTGAAAGAAACACTTTGTTTTGTGTAAATCAATCGATCCAAAGTAAGATTTCTACTTGATACACGGAGGACACGTACACTTTCGAATGTTGGGACAGAGTAACAGGATTTAGTACAAAAAATATACCCCACCCCCAAGAATCAGGGCCATGTCTGTATCCTTAATATTTGGGAGACAAATTAGAATCGTAATTTTTATTTCATTTATTAGGTTCGCACATACTGCAAATCCTTATAGTGAATGACCGAAAGTTCATTGACCCGAAAGCAGAGTTTGGGTCGATGAGGTTTTTTATAGTCTGATAAACCGAAGACCCATTCTACGATGATATTAATTTCAATGTCGTACGTACGAAATAAATATTAGAAAAATAGTTTAAACCGAAACAAAGTTCTTATTTTAATAACAATCACAATTGTAATACTATACATTTTAAAATGACATTTGAAGAATTCCAAGCCAAACTAAACAGCTAAGATCGGCCGATTATTCATGTTATTCAGTTCCGATTGCGACGTATTACGTCACATGTATGTGAATGAACTTTTTGGAGGTTGGAATAATAGTATGGGACACAACTTTTGCCAAAAATATTTTCTTTAAGCACTTATTAGAATTCTTGTGGTTTTTTTTTAAATTAATTTAATTAAAGAAAAAAATATAGAGATAAATAACTATATTTTCGAACAAAAATATTAATATTTATATCAAGAGAATGTATAATAGGTATTTTAATGTTTTATTTCAAAAAAAAAAATCACACTAAAACCCAGATAAACTTTAAATATTTCTGCAGAATCTGCAAAGAATAACAGCAAGTATGATCATCGTCATGGAATCAAAAAATCTGACAGTTATTCCTTATATTTACATGGTCATGATTTCACAAATCAATATATTCAAGTTCCGCTTCTGTCTCTATCTGTCTATTTGTCCAACCCCTCACGTGATTTTTTTTTTAAACCGCGCCCATTGATATAAAACCGGCACATTTATGTAGAAATAAAATACGTTAACTATTTTTGATTTTATCTCGTACAAAGACTTTGGAAATGTAAATATTACCATATATTACACCTACGTTCCAGCATCTGATATTATTTCCCGTTTTGGTTTATGAAAGATGTTGCTCCTCGGTACTGTAGATCACTATATTTTCGCGACATCTTATTTTCGCGATATAGCTATCTGCTAATTATCAGCGAGACAAAATGTTGGCGAGGTGTGGTTTCTGTTTTTATACCGGTAATCCTTTATAATATAAATGTAGGCGAGAATAAAATTTTCGCGAACAGACAGACTTGCGTATTATCTATGGTAGCCAAGAGTTTACGATGCACTCCACTGACTCCCTCTACCTTGGGTAGCGAAGATGGTTCATGGAATTATAAATAGGTAGTTCTAATTAATTTACATTCATGTTGTACACTATAAAAACATGACCTTCTAGTTTATCATACTAAGGGTGAAATAGACCTGAGAATAACCTGAAGTATTTCGCCAATCCTTATTTTTACAGAAGGGCGGGGGTTGTGGGTCCATCCGTCAATTACTTACAAAGTTTATGCTGAAGTTTTAATGAAATGATTTAATTAAGCACATTTATCGTAACAAAAATTCTGCGATCTATATAGCAAAATATTTCAAGTGTCAATCAGAACTTATTACCTAAATACGTAAAATTTCCGTAGACGGCATGGAATCTTCTCTCTCTCCTCTCTCTCTCCTCTCTCTCTCTCTCTCTCTCTCTCTCTCTCTCTCTGTAAAACTGAAGTTCACATTCTGACAAAATTTAGTAAAGAGACGTATTATTAACACTATTTTAAGTCCCTCGCATGTCTCCATATAAAGACAGCTAACAACGCGATCAATGAACTTTCCAGAAATTCTTTGTCCCGAGTTATCGCTTCTCATATAAAAGGGTGCCCATACGGACGCGTGCTACATTGTGTTTTGTTGCAACGTACTTTATATATTTTTGTGTGTGTACCGGTGATTAGAAATAGACTGAAAATATGGATTTCATGCCGATTTACTACCGCCCAATGTCTGCACAACAGCAGACCGGCTCCTTTCGCGACCTCCTTAGGCATATGATGCATGAGGAGATGTCTGGAATACCCCAAACTCAACAGCACCCGGCTTTGCACCACAGACGTCGAGACATACCCGAGAAATGGAGCAAAACTATTCGCCTGGACCACTACCACCCCGACGAAGTGAAAGTCGTCGTTAAGGATGGCACCGTCCGGATCCATGCTAAACACCTTGGTGGGGATGAGCTTAATAGCGATGTCCGAGAATCCACCCGTACCATCAGAATTCCCGAGGGTGTGGACCAAAGTAAGGTCCATTGTTACATGAGTAACGAGAACCATTACACGGTAGAGGGACCATTTTTGCCTGATGAGGATGAGGAAATGGAGGTCAAATTGGAGAATGTACCCGCCATTACGGATGGGAGTGAAGAGGACATGCAGGTCGCAGAGCAGGGTCCGTACCAAGAAAATCTGGATCTATCCGTGTTTGATCCCAATAGTATAAACATTACCCGTAAAAAGAACGTCGTCTGCATTTCTGCTGAAGAGGCGAAGGATGAAGATGGCATTAAAGTTCACAGGTCATTCCGCAAGGCGTTCACTCTCCCCGAGGGTGTCGATTACAAACAGGTCAAGGCCGCTCGAGGTAGAGATGGGAAAATCGCTATTATGGCACCTAAAATGGATAGTTAATTAAAGAGGGACATTAAATATCGTGAAATTCAGAAATTCTGCTGTTTGGCAGGGAGGACCAATTTGTGTAAATTGTGTTGACAGTATAATTTGTTTTGAATGAAAAAGTTCAAGTTTGAGTGTGTACATCATGGATAAAAAATACCATTTTCACAATTTTTAAAAGTTTTGAGTGTGTTAAACATTGATCAGATTGTTTTATTGTGTTGTAGATTGTACAAGTATTATGGTTTATATGGAAGCAGTTTGATGATTCAAATTAAAATGTCGCAAATTCAGATTTGTATTAGTTTCAGAATTACGGGATACTATGTAGAAATTGTAAATCTATAGTACTTAGAGTCCGAATTTCATACAGAGAGAAGAGTCCGATCGAACATTGACCTAAATCGTGTGAATGACCTCATACTTGTAGTTGAAGTATAGGGCTTTGCGATTTTTAAAAATTCTCTCTATAGGGTGTCCTGAATGAGGAAACGTATCTTGAAAGATCCATGAAACTGTAGAAACACAAATTGCATTGAGGAATGTAGGTATAGGGGAGGGGGATCCCCTTGATTTTGCTGGTACATAGTATACTTTAGAAATCGAGGCTAATTTACAGTTGTGTACCCTTCAGAAATTACCAATATACTAGTATACTACATATTATATTAGTTTACTACGGTTTTGTACCCTGATCATATCCCTCTTTGTTTTGTTTGTAAGAAATATACTAGTATGTTAACCCCCCTCCCCCCAACGAAATAGGATTTTCACGTGTGAGCAAGTTTAGGTCTTTTGGGGGGGGGGGGGGCTTGTCAACAAATTTCTGAGCTGGTTTATCTATTACTAGGGTGGACCCCCCCCCCCCCGGAAAAAAATTCCTGGATCCGCGCCTGAATATCATGGTACTAGTTTAATGTTCTTTCACTGTAATTCTGACCCAAGAGAGATAACTCTGCCATGGTGATACTAAGTACATGTATTCCATCTTTGTGCATCTCGAGTTGCAGAGCATGATGGCATGTGGTTATAAACTGCATGTAAAAATAAATGTTGTCTCATAAAAATTATTCAACCAGTCGTCAACATTTTACAGAAAAGACTCGTAATCAGTGGGAATGCATAGGCGTCAGGGGCAACAGGCACGTTGCAATATAAGATAAGATAAGATTTATTAATACCAATTTGGGGCCCATCAGGGCATACAAGTAATAAGAAAAAATATACAAGAAGAAATTCAAAATTGATAGTAGCAACTAACAAAAGATAAATGATGATACAGCAGTTGGGGATTACAACATATATAATCAACATACTGTAAATATAAAGCTTTTTTTTTACTAGAGTATAAACATTATTTCTCTTTTGTATTTATTTGTTTCTTTGTTTAACATTGCATAATTTGCTATTTCTTATTCTAAAGATATTGATTAAAAAATTACTCAGCTTGATAAGCAACATGTCATTTTCATTAGACATAATCCATAATTTTTTTTTCTTTATTTGTTAAAGTATAGAAATTTTTATTACTTTTAGCAATAATATTAAAAAGTCATCTCTATCATGTTTATATAATGGACATTCAATCAGTGAGTGTATCTCATCTTCCACACAGTTCATGTCGCACATTCTACAAATTCTTTCATTTCTTGCAAGGGTGGTTTGCTCTCCTACAGAGTTTAGTTTTTTTTTCGTATCTTCCACTTTCTATTCTGAGGTTATGTGAACTTACTCTAAATTTGCATATAATTTTTCTTTGTTCAAATTTTTTAATAATAAATACTTTTCAATTTCAAAACTACTTTTTATATAGAAATATGTTGTAAGTTTACCCGATAGACAACCATCATCTCTTTTTTTTAACCAATATTGAAGGAAATCCTCTCTAATGATTTTTTTTCAGTTGTTTCTTTAAAGTTATTAGTTTAAAGAAACAATTGAAAAAAAATATAGTCAAACAAGGTTAAGTGGTAGTGTTTTGGGGAAAAAATGGTACTGAAAAAATTCGACCCTTAACCCCCCCCCCCACCTCCACCCCCACCCCGATAAAAAAAGGATTTTCAGGTTAAGGCAACGGTGAAATTTTCAATTTTTGTTTGTCTGGTTTTTTTTGTTGTTGTTTGTTTGTTTGTTTTTTGTTTATTTGTTTGGTTTTTGTTTGTCAGTTTCACTTGGATGGCCTCATGGAATAATTGGGGACTTTGTCTAGCGAAATTCTGATATTCGCTAACAAAGTTCCCATGCCAATTAAATTACTTCATTTTTTTGTATCTGTGCTTTTTTCCAGAAATGTTTTTTATGAAGTGGAAATTTTTAAAAGATTAATTTGTGTGAAAAATGTAATCGGTTTTTAAAGCCACCAACATACGTTTTCTCTGTATCTCAGGAACAATTACATGTATATATATATATTGGATTGGATTCCAATTTCCATTTTTTATCATTTCTCTTGAATACTTTTTCTCCTGACTTTTACATTATTTAAGTATGAGCGAGACAGTCAACTGGATCCGCTCCGCGACTTCCCTGTTTACACATTTGGCTACCATTTGTCTGATGACTTTCAGCTGCCCCCAACTTACAGCCCTGGGGAGGGAACGGCTTGGAACGGACCAGCCAGAAAGGTCACAGATCATACAAAAAATGGGAAATGTTCGCCCATCTTCTTGTGCCGGTAGTGGTAAGCAATGAAGAAATAATATGTACTAAAATTTTAAGAGCTTTGATATTATTTATTTTAAGTGATACATTGGTCCAACGTTGTCAAAATCTCTTTGCATATAAATTATTTTTCAGAAAGTATATATTATATATCATTACTTTGCATTACTGAATGTAAGCCTCTCTCTCTCTCTCTCTCTCTCTCTCTCTCTCTCTCTCTCTCTCTCTGAAGAAATCCCATTAATGTAAAGATGGACAAACTTTAAAGGTATAACCCTCAGCTACCGCTCAATCTCTTTTAAATATTATAAGTAACATACATTTAAAAATAGAAGGAAAACGATTTTTCACGTTGATTTCTTGGTACATGTAATCGAAAATGGAGAGAAAAACTCCGAAACCACCTCACAAATTTTATCCAAATTTTATTGCATATATATATTCCAATTTTCGAAAGAAAAGAGGCAATTCATGTTGTAGTTTTGTGTAATCTATTTTACAAATTACAACAATTTTTTTTAAATCCGACAATTCGAAAAAGACGTCACCCGAAAAGGGAATGGTAGGACAATGTTTATTTTGTACACGCTGATTTTTTTTTTAAATTATACTACTTGTTAAGGAAAGTCAATTACAGCAAAATTAAAGTTTTTGTTTTGCACCGGGGGAGGGGGGGGGGGGGTTCACCATCATTTCAAATTTCCTCTGTAGTCTTATTTACTAATATTTTCCATGAACCAAGCGTCTATGGAGATAAAATGTAAAAGGGTTTGTGACGTCTTTTAAAAACACTCTCTAGGTCCCCTCTATAAAAACCCGTACCTGTTCCGGTATAACGTAGCTTGTTGACTTTTAAAAGATAATATTAAAATACATTTTTACAAACTGTAATAAAATCTGTTTACATCTGAATAGATTGCCTCCTCGTGGCTCTTATATGACATTGAGCACTAATATCATGACGTGCAATAATTCTGATAAGCGTATGTTTACTATAAATGTCCTTTTTTATTGCTGTAGTAAATTTCATTCATGAAATAGTATGTCTCCGTACGTTTATACCCCACGGGAAGTCTGTGCTATTTATAGAAATACTTTTGCCTTAATGGAATTTTATTTCTGTTTATTCAGTACGTTATTAACTTTCACTGCTCCTGGGTTCAAAATGCTGCAATAATCTTTAAAGATTAATAAAACAAACTTTTCTTTCAGAAATCAGCAATATTTCTCACAGATTTATATTCCAATACTTAAAGTATACGGGAAATGATTTTGTCGCAATCCTAAAAGTACATGCAAAATGTCATATAGAATTGCACATACATGTATTATAGAAAACAAAACAAAGTCGCATATTTTAAGCAACAAAGAGGAAAGACGATTTCTTAATATTCAAAATCAGATAAAATATATGGATGAATCCAGATATCAAATTTTTGTATATGTTATATATCCTTTAATATAATTATGTTATTTAAAATTAAACTGCTCTTCCCCCAGTAAAAAACATTTGAACAGAAATTACATGTAGGTCATATGGAGTAATACGCGCCATGAACACTTTTCCCCCCATATTTTTCAACAATTAATCTTATTTGCAATGCGTACATGCGGGCCCACAGCCCATTGTAAACCCTCTCAAATCACATAGAATCACAGATACTTGTTTAGGAAATAATTTTTTAACCATAGTATAATAATAACACGTATTATTATTATACTGTAGGTTAAAAAAATATTTCTAAACAAGTGTATGTGCAAGCAAAACAGGAACAACAAGCAACTAATAGAATATTTATACTATTATCATACTCAGAACCTCCCCCTTCAACGACTGAATTTTATTTAACCAGTTTACATTGATATCTATGTAACTGTACATACTCTTCTTTATTTTGTTTTTAATTAGTAATCACAACTTATCTATCTATGATTGATTGCTGTATAACTGCACTTAGTCTTCTCTATTCCAATTCAGAGTTTTACCACTTGAAGGCTAATATGATAAATCAAATTAAAAATTAATTTGCGTTCACTGTCACGGAATATTAAATTTTATCACACAGATTTACATTTATAGTTATTTTAACTATTGTTAATATACACGTTTGTAAAATTTCTATCATCGGGTAAAAAGGTGTTAACCTCAGCAAATGGTTTTTAAAATAAAAATTAGGTGGAAATTAGTATGACACGCTACGTGGAAACCACTATCTGGTTTCCATAAAATGAAAACTATATGGAAACTACTGATGTCACGATTCCATATTTCCATCGGATTTCCAAATTTGGGAAATCAGGCTTTTCATCCTGTGGGCGTTTATCATGCCATTCATCTGAAAAAACTGCAAAAATTTTAAGAAATTAAAGTTTTTATATGAATGAATTTTGAACAATGATAGAAAAAAAATGTTAGGTATTCGGTAACAATCTGAATCAGATCACCTTGTTCTTAACATATCACCCCCTCCCACCCCCCAAACATGCATAGTGCAAACATAGTCGGAATTTCGGATCGTAACAATCAGGATGTGGTTTTAATCAGATTGGGACGGAGTAGCAGGAAAAGAACAATATACTATATCAAAATTCTCTTGGGAAATTGCAGAGAAAATATATTCATAGGATTGTC